TACATTTGAAAACGAGTCATGAACCAGTTGATAAATGATTTTTGAAAACCGTTTTTCTTAAATTTTATTATAAAGAAGAAGAAATCGGCACACTTAAAACACATAAAATAGTGTTAATGGTTAGAAGAAAAGAGAAATGAACCATTGCGTTTTAAAAAATAACATAAAATAAAATAAAATAAAACCAAATGATTGACAAAATGTCATTGAAATTTTATGATATTCTGTTTGTTTACAATTCAGTTCAATTTGATCGAAAGAAAGAAGTGAGTAGATGATATTTAAAAAAAAAATCACGAGATTTGCAATGAATACACTGACTGAATTATGTGTACTTCTGGGATAATTTACTTGAATAACTTGCTCTATGCTAGTTTTAAAATAGTCGATAGAAACAGTGAATTGATCACGTTAGACATTAACAACGTTAGATAATACCGGCTCAGTGGTCCGATGGTTAGGCGTTTGCGCACAATACCGAAGGTCCTGGGTTCGAATCCTGTGGGGTGCAGGAGTCGTGGATGTGCACTGTCGCTGAGGAGTCCTATACCAGGACGAAACGGCCGTCCAGTGCTTCCAGATTTCTAATGGTGGTCTGACATTGATCGAATCTTCTTTCCAGGGCTCGAAGTGAGCCATGAACGTATACCTTCTCGACTAGTTTGGCGGGAATACGACGGTGTACAACAGGTCTAGCTTCAAACTGGGTGACTTTCTTAAGTTGCCTTTGATAAATAATTGTCTCATATCTGACACAGTTGAACTCTACTGGTCACAGCTTTCAAATGAAACTAGAACAATTGTTTGTTTATGTAGGCTAGCAGCTAGTGGATGCATACCGTGTACAACATATATGTAACTATAAACTGGGAATCAAAACACATTTACTACCATTGTATTCTCACAATATAACGTTCAAATTAATGAGAAAAAACGCTTGATAATAGAATGAGTTATATTAATTTCAATATGTTCAGCATTGTTTTAATTTTCAAATATATATATATATATATGTAATTCAGTTAGACTGAAGAATTTAGTGTTCAATATTCTTCAATACAGTAGTGTAATAACGACGAGCAAAAGTTTAGAATGAAAATTTCTCCACTCATAATTCCTTATTCCAAACCAATTAGTCAAATGACCATGAATGATCGATAATGCAACAATTATTCATAAATACAATATTTGTTGCAATTAGTTAGATTTCAAGGTAGTACTGTGAAATCACGAATCGATCAATGTTAGACCACCGTTGTCAGATTCCATCAACTCAGTGGTCTAGAGGTTAAGCATTCACATACTCGACGGAAGGTCCTAGGTTCGATTCTTGCGAGGTGTAGGAGTCATCGGCGCGTACTGCTGATGACTTCAACACCAAAAACGCAACGTCCTTGCACTGCTTCCAGGTTTCTAATCAGTCAGTCAGATGCAACGTAGAACTTCGTACGTAAGTACATCAGTTCATGTTGCCATACCACATCAACACAGAGATATAATTGTCAACTCAAATCCAATAGTAGAATAGGTAGTAAAGGTATTAGAAGTAATCGGAGAGGTAATGATTAGAAGATATTCAAGAAATATGATTCATTGAGAAAAGTTTAGAAAGTCAAAACTAGAGGGGTTGAAGAATCCAGAAGATTAAGATTTGAGAGAACACAAAGAATAAATGCACCGGCGCCATTGCAAACGGTTTTAAGCCATGTCATTCAAGGCCTCTAACCATCGATTATTATCATCTCGCGGATCCCAACCAGGTAGTCGACAATTACCGACATGACTCAGTCCACTCGTCAATGACTTCATGGATTTCTGCCATGTTTTAGATTGGCCACCCCTAACTTTCTTCCAACCTATTCCTACACTACAAAACAAAGCTCTTCGAGGCAATCGGAGGTTAGGCATACGCAGCACATGTTCCAACCACCTCAACTGATGAAGTTTCAGCACTTCATCTATTGATCTGAGGTTTCTAATAGCAGTCTAACAATGATTTATTCATGATTTCAATTTAATCGGAAAAAACTACATGCTAACATTGTATTAGAATGGAAAATCTTCTGTTCGAAAAAATTTATATCAGACAAATGCACACTACTATAGTGTTGATACTTTTATGCTCGTAAAAAAAGTAACATCAATTGTATATAATAGTTTCATAATAAACTTACATTACTTATATAATAAGATAATAGTTCATTCAAGTTACTAGGACAATGTACAATTAAGGAAACTGTTAAGTAGTACTAATAATAATAATAATAATAATAATAATAATGAAAAATAATAATTATCAGTTGACTAAATAATTTTTTTTATTTTACATTTTATGACTTTTTATTACATCATGAGTACACTGTAATTGGAAATAAAATATCTTCAATTTTTTTTTCTTTCTGTGAAATGCATTATTATTTTACACAATTTAAGCAATAAAAGAACAGAAAACCTTAGAAAATGTAAAACAAACATCTCAAGGTCGATTGCTAGAACTTGTTCACACATCGCTCACATGAGTTGCCATTGACAATGAATATTGAAAGTGAATGCATGTGCGTTTGTTTGTTTGTTTATTTTTTCTGTTGATTTATTGTGTTTGCAACCAGTTTATTTTTTTCTTCTTCATTATTATCTCTACTATCTATCGCTTGATTAACGAACGATAAAAGTTGAAACAGTTCAACTTTTTTTTACTGGCTGTTGTATGTACGTGTGTATGCGTGTGTATGAGTGTGTGTGTGTGTGTGTGCGTGTCGAGGGGTGGTGTGAAATAGTTACTAATCTGTTGATTGTTTCTACCGGTTACTTATTGTTCTTTTCTGTGTTTTATTTTATTCATACTCAAATCCTTTATTATATATATATATATATATATATATATATATATATATATAAGCCAAAGATTTTGTAACAGGTTGTGTCAAATGATCACTCACAGAGAAATGTTATCCTTAATTTATCTAGTTGTGTTATTCGGTAAGTAAATAGTTTGTACTATGAATTTACAATACTACTTAAAAAAAATATTTTTTTTATCTCAATAAGTGCTTGATTTTAATTTTGTTTTCGAAATGAATAAAAACAAAAATTTTAAAATTGTAAACTTTGTGTTATGATGATGTTTGGAGTAAGTAGTAAAGTCGTTTTTCTTGATAACTTGAAATAATTGTCAAATGATGTACAAGTTAATCATTGTGTAAAATACTCTAGTCAACATTAGTGGAGTCTGTAGTCGGTAACAGTTTAAATGTTCTACTATCGAGCGTTTCATCGACTGTGTTCAGTTCAGACCATCGATTTGATTATTATTACGCATAATGATCAATCTTATTACCTGTAAAGAAAGAGGTGACAAGAGTTTTTGGCGAAGAAAAAACAAGGAGTGTACTTTTTGAGGAGTGTATCAGCATTGTTTTTAGTAAACGCTTTTAAAAGCAGAAATAATGAGATACATCTTTTCAGTGTTGACGTAAAAAATTGAAAGTTCGACTGGATATAAACAAAAATTTATTAGATTTAGACTAACTGTAAATATTTCGAATGAACTGATAGACCAGTGTAGGTTAAAGCATTAAAAAGTTTTTTTTAATATTATAAACAAGATGTAAATTAAAACAGGTGTGTTTTTTTCTCTCCCTGTTAAGTAACTTGGAAGAGTGTGTTTTTATCTGCTAACTACATAAAAAACCAATATAACCAAAAAGATTTGTATAAACAGCTTCTAAAGGGGAATTAAATATCGTAAAATGTGCTCACTAGTGACTAGCTTAGTCAATGAAATTCTTAGAGTTCTAGTGAGAAGACGTGACCAGTGGAATTCAACCCTGTGAGGTGTTGGTAGTAATTACCAAAGACAAATGTATGAGGCCGCGCAAAATCCTTAGATTGATCAGAGTTAGTCATTAATACCGCTGGATGCTGGCATAGAGGTCCGGAGTTTAGGCGTCCGCGCGCAAGACCGAAGGTCCTGGGTTCTAATCCTGCGAGGTTTAGTAGTCGTGGATGCGCACCACTGATCATTCTCATACAAGGACGAAACGGCCGTCCAATGCTTCCAGGTTTCTAATGGTTGTCTAATAACCAATGACTGATCATTTCAATGCGTAAAGACACTAATCTTCATAACTCTAAATGAAAATGTAGATATTATGTGTATTATTCATCAGTGGCTTTTAAATAAATTGAATATTGACAGTATCTCTTGATATACCTAATTTACTCTCGATTATTGAGTGTTAGTTTCGTGAAAACATAAAGATTACCATTCAATTATTTGCATAATGCCCATTAAACTTATAATTAAGTGGTCTTACAAGACTTTGTTCAATATTTTATAAGCAATATCCTCTGAGAAACAAGAAATACTGGATAGTTTTATATACTAGTATGCAAGTGCTAAACAATTTATATACACAACCCTGAAATTGGAGATATAATGAAGAACGTTCGGTTTTGCAAACGAATGCCCTAACTTCTAAAGTACTCAATTTGTATCCACTGGTGTACATGTCTTATTTCATTCAATCTACAATACCCTTTTACTATTTTCTATTCCCATTAATGAATACCCTCTTTATACCGGACATAGTTGAACTTCACTAGTTACAGCTACTCATTAGAACTTCCTCTCAAAGCCAAATATTGGTCAGCTCACGATCATCGTCAGTATGTGTATGTGGACATAATTAAATTTTACTAAGATTGTGGACTGATATGGTTGTTTAACTTAGATTATTGCTTGATCCTCAGCAACTGCTAACTAACAAGAAATGATACATCTTTATTGGAAATTATTTAATTTGAGTAAATTCATAAAGTTCTAAATCCATGATTGTAGGTAAATTATCTTTTAAAAATATACTAATAGGCATTGTAGTCTGCGGTGGAGTTCTAACACACACACCTGGTTATCGTATTTCATGAAATAATACAATTTAGTTCTATTTACATTTATACATATATATATATATATATATATATTTTTGACCACATTATAGTTTACCTGTCAAATGGGCAGAAATCATGTCCTGCAGTTAATTATATCACTCCTACGGAAGCCAGTACCGAGGGCGGTTCAGCAATTATGATTTTTGGATGTGGTAAGTCAGTGATTTTTGTGTGAACAAGCGTAGAATCATTTAGGATTATGTATTTGTCAATTTTTTATTTTACCATCAGAAAAAAAAGAGAAGAATCTAGTTATACTAATACTTGACAAAAGTATCCATCCAATTTACTAGCTGTAAACAATCTCAACATTTTAGAATAGGTAATAATAACCTTACGAACAATATGTTTGCATAGTAAATGTGTTTATGTTTTTTTACGACATAGAATTATGGAGAGTGTTGTTTTACATTGAAATCGTGAATCATTGTAATAATAATAACAACTCTGTCATGAAAAACCATAAAATGTGTTCACTAGTGATTGGCTTCATGAAGGGATTCTTGGAGTTCTGGTGAGAAGCCGTGACCAGTGAAGTTTAACTCTACCTGGTGGTTGTAGTCATTAGGTGAGGTTATATAAAATCTTTAGATCGATCAGAGTTTGACATTAACTTCGGCGGATCTCCTCACAATCGTCTATAGGTTCAGTGTTCGTGCGCTAAAACTGAAGGTCCCAGGTTCAATACCTATGAGTGGGATATGAGGATGCACAGTGCTGTTGAGTCCTGTACCAGGATGAACCAGCCGTCCACTGCTTCCAGGTTTCTAATGGTGGTCTAACAGTAAATGAATGATACACAATGTAAAATATTGTAAAATATTTTTGTTTTAATCTGTACATGAAATGGTTATATTTACCATAGTGATTTCAGTAGGTTAAAAAAGCTGAAATAATTTCAGTATTTGATATTCTGTTGTTCTTTTTTATTGACAAAAAAAAATGAATGAAGATTTTGTTCTTGTGATAATCAAATAAGAAAAATTCCTTTCATCGAAATAAAAACTGGTTGTTTTTCTGCTTAAATTTAAAATTTAATAAGTCAACATGTGAATTTTAGTTGTACAGTGATTTGTATATTTTCTCTTAACATCTGACATTGTTATTACTGTTTTTTCTGTACGTAATAATCAGTTATTTTTTGGAACTAATTTTATTAACAGCATATTTAATACACATGAATCAATTACTTCCGATTCTTGAGTTAGCAATAAAATACTAAAAACTGACTTGTTTAGTTATTTCCTTAATTTATTAGCTATCAAACACAGTTATTGAATTTATATCTTGGTTAACCGACAAGCCCGCTGCACATGCACATCGCTGCTTTTTAGGCAACGCAAGGACTTTCACTTTAGCCGTTTAGTGATCACCCCTGCCCCAATCGGGAACATACATGTTGTCCAGTTTGGTCTGCAAGCAGGTCGGATGTCTAAAAAGCACGCACACGAACAGTTGCCCCCATTCAGGCACTTATGAATTAACAAGATCCCTCCACCAATCCACTACCCAAAATCCCCAGTCGGCATGAGCTGAAAGGCGGGCTTACCCAGACTGACCTGGCACCCTGAACGGATTACCGAGCCACTCAGCAGTCCGCTAACCAGCAGACATTCCAACCATCTGTCCTCCAACTGCCTTGCGCTGTTACAATCAACCGGAGCCCTTAGACCCCACACGAAGCTAAAGATTAAGTTTGTCCCACAAGGTCAGCCGGAACGTACACACTCCCATGAGGAAGATGTCATGGACTCAACCAAGTGCAAGCACTCGGCCAAGCTGGGTTAGTCCCACAAAAGTGGGCAGACATCATTGGCGTCCAGTACCCTTTAGTACCGGATCAAATAACCCAACTTAAGACCCTTGTTTAAGGGGCCTCTACGCCAGTTTACACTATACACCGAGATGCACAGTGTTCGAGACAACCACATAGAGTCGGCGTCAATAGTCCAGGATGTCTACGGCTGCTTCCTCAAACACAACGCCGCCTTCAATCATCCTGGAAAGCTACATCCCTTTCAAGGTATTTGCGACTACGGAATGATAGAGGACAAGTCCTAAAACTATTATCGGAATTTACCTACGCCCGATGGACGGGATTCACACTTAGAGGCGTTCGGTCCTAATCTCCCAGAATGGCCAACCACACCTACAGCCTTGCGACCATGGACACGTAACATCATTCTGGACCATGCTAGGTACGGTATCCTGAGCGTTCGGAATGGCTTTTAGCCGCAGCGCTGTAAACAACGCCAAGTTGCCTGGCAGGACCACGAAGAGGTAGCCGGCACCACAAACCCAGAAGGCTCTCTGAGCTAAAATCATGTGCAGTTATTGAATTTATTCTGTGTTAGAAATTTTACTTCACCTACTTCTGCCTGTTCCTCGTAATGGAACATAGGCTGCCAGCTAGCAAATAATTTGTTCTCGTCAGCGTTTATTAGCGAATGGGTTCTCAACGGGATGGAGTTGCCAGACTCTCCCCCCCCCTTGGGACCGGTAGAAACCCCGTAAGGAAGCTATGATAGAAAATAGTCACTGAAATTGATTCGATATATTTTTCTTCGGAAAAATTGACAGAAACAGAGTTCAGATACTTGTTAAAAGTAAAAATATTCATTTGACTGCACTTAACATAACACAATATAACACTAATGCATGAACACAAAATACATAATGCTACTTGGTTTTTTATTAGTTTTTAGTTGAAAAAACATGTGCTCTATAAAATCTTTTCACAGAACTCTTCCTCTTCATAACTATTTGACCAACTGTAACTCATTTCAATATGGCCTTCTCGAGAGTTTAGTGATCCAGTTAGTGAACTAAATCGATATTGAAACAGCAACTTACAAATCTCAATGGCTAGTCATATTTGTGATATATTGTAGATTGACTGAAAGACCAGATATTGTTGGGACCGTTAGATCCCCAGAACTCACTTGAAAAAGGTCCTAATTTTGGAATTTTGTGTTTTCGCGCATCGGCTGAATAGTTGACCATGATATTACATTTCCCATCCGGAAAATCCTTGGCTGTCATTGGTTGATGCATTATTTTAGTAGGCTATTTTTGTGGCTCTCCCGAAGACGTTTCTATCACATGTATAAATAAGCTCGATTTGTGTGCTTGTAGAATACACTTTCTACGCCCTATCAAAACTTCTTGATCTAGTTAGTCCGTGCTGGGACAAACGAATTAAAGTAGCCTATCGTGTCACTGTGCATCGCTTGTCATCGCTCTCGTTTACCGAGTAAGGTGAACTGGTAATAGCTCAAGCATATCAGCTGAAAAGCATGTCCGATAATATTTCAGCCACTCATGATTGAAATTCCAGGATTGATATTAACTAGTTGTAGTTGTTCACTGCTTGAACTAAAAACAAACTGACAGTCTAGTGCGTTTTATTTTTCCCGATCATTATTAACATAAACAAGGAATCTGTTTCTGATTGCTATTTGTAACAGCAAATGTTTTTCTGTTATTGAACATTCAGAATTTCTTTTGATTAGTCTCTATTTGCGTATGTACTACTTATGTAATAAAACTGACTTATTCTGAACACATACATTTTTTTATAGAAATATATTAATTTTACCAATCTTTTCAACAAACTCAAAATTACATTCATTCTTACTGGAAATATATAAATTTTTAAAATAATTTGATTTCCTTCCTCTTTATTGAATACAGGATTTGAACAAAGTGCATTTGTATTGCCTGGATCAAATTCTAATTCTGGAAATCGAGTATTTCTTAGAAATGCATGGCAAACATATACAACGGAATTAATTGAAGAGGGCGGAAATATGATTAAATTCTCTTCACCGTTAGTTGTAGTCACATGATTATTTTTTGTCTCTTAAACTATTGGTTAGATATTATTCCATTTTTGATCATATGATAAGAAATCATTAGGTAATTTATCCCTGAAGGTCAAAATTTTTCATGGAACCTTAATGAGAACACTGGAAAATAAAACCTTGATGTATATGCACGGAAAATGTTTCCCTTACGATAATAAATTTGGAATAAACAACACAGAACCTGGTACACATGCATATCGAATCAAGTTGCCACACTTCATTATGATGACGAACCCTGAAGTAGTAGAAGTAGTAACATAATAAGTGGTAGCCAAAAATACTGGTTAGCGATTTTTTGGCAAGTTAGTTTTTGACCGAATGGGGTCGCCAACCCCATGTCCAACCCTCTTCGTTTACCCGGGCTTGGGACCGGCACTAGCCCCGAAGGTTCTACTGGCGGAGTAGGTCTCAACATACATAAAGGAAAAAGCAAAATTCTCCAATGCAACACAAAATGCACCAACCAAATCACTCGTGATGGAGATGCCCTGGAGGACGTTAATACCTTTACATATCTGGGCAGCATCATCGACAATCAAGGTGGATCCGATGCAGATGTGAGAGCGCGGATTGGCAAAGCAAGGGCTGCATTTCTACATTTGAAAAATATCTGGAACTCTAAACCACTTTCAACCAAAACCAAAATCAGGATGTTCAGTACAAATGTGAAGACAGTTCTACTATATGGAGAGGAAACATGGAGAACTACCAAAGCCATCATCCAGAAAATACAAGTGTTTATTAACAGTTGTCTTCACAAAATACTTCGGATTCGTTGGTCACACACTATCAGCAACAACGTACTGTAGGAGAGAACAAACCAGATTCCAGTGGAGGAGGAAATCAGGAAGAAGTGGTGGAAGTGGATAGGACACACACTACGAAAAGCACCTAACTGCGTCACAAGACAAGCCCTCACATGGGACCCTCAAGGCAAAAGGAAAAGATGAAGGCCAGGGAACACATTACGCAGAGAAATAGAGAAAGATATGAGAGGAATGAACAAACATAGGACAGAATTGGAGAGGGAAGCCCAGGACAGAGTTGGTTGGAGAAATCTGGTGGGCGGCCTATTCTCTATTCGGGGTTAAAAATACTAGATGGAAACATTATAATTTGAGAAGAACAAATTAATTCATAGAATGAAAATGTTTTGAATTATTTTAAACCATGATCTAAGCAACAACAAAATGTGTCAAAGCTTCTCCGTCATTTCGACCGATTCTGAAGTATATCATCAAAAATCTTTAACCATTAATAGCAATAATCGCCTGAACTTCACTGGCTAGTGTTTATCTACCAATATGATTCTGTTCAACTCTCTGGGACTTTATGGACTGATGTCACACTTTGGTCTAGTTGACCTTAGATTTTGTCTAACCAAATTTTACTCCAGTTAACACTGGGAGTCAAAGTAACTGGAGGTTTTTCATACGTAGGTGTATAACCTAACTACTTCAATTTGTGATGATTTAAAGTATCATTAACTGTTTTACTATCTTTGCCCAATTTTCTTCATCTAACTTTGCTTATATAATGGTATCTGTGTTCATAAAAAATACCTATAAGGAATGTATATCGAGCAAACAATAAATAACCTGAGATTAGCCTCTACCTTTAAAGACCGCTTGTCATAGTCTTGATGTGAATCTCATCATGTTGTTTAATCTAATTTCTCTACTCCATTCTATTTGGATAAAAGTCGCCATTGATACTGTTTAAAAATTTCTTCTAAACTAGTAGTATTCATTGCTAGTTTACAACACATTTCTAAACAAAATAACTGACACAAACTTAAAAATCTAAAAATCAATAATAATGGTAATTATACTAATTTTCCGAAAGTAAAACCAAGTTAATGACAATGTACAATGTACACTCATTGATATTTGTGTAAAAGTCAGAATGTGAGGTATTTTGTAATGAAAATTTACAACGTAAATTTTCTCAGTCAAAATTGCATACATATTACCAATGAATTTCACATAGCTTAATGAATATTCAAACTAAGTGTAGACTTCTGTCGTGTTATAACAAACAGTATAAGTTTCATATGACAAAGAAGTTGTTGTATCCTTAACTGTTAATCAGTATCAGGTGACAAATACGAAACATACGAAATCATTAACGGGCCACAACTCAATAGCTTCTCTCTACCCTGCATCTTAGTCGAGAAGCTCATCAGCCAGCCTTGACAAAATTTATTATATTTCAAATAGTTTATTTTTTAACCATACCAGTTAACATCATATCAGAAGTCAAAACGGGGCTGTGACCACGGGAAACTGTCAATAATAAATCCCAAAACCATACTTATTGAGTTAATCAGAAAATCATAATTGAAAGAACATATAAATGTAGTGATCCAGTTACTGAATATTTAGACAATAAGGTTTTACACTATAATAATCGATAAATCAGTCCTGGAAATTACCATTTCCTTAATATTCTTGCTGATATAATAGAAGGTAAACGAGAATTCTCTATAAAAACTAAGTTTAAATTATATATATATATATATATATATTGAGAAAGAGGTTAATAACTAACTAACACTATTTCCTCCACTGGCAAGAAATTGTAATTGGACGAATCAATCCTATATGATGCTCTCAGGAGAATAAGTCACATCTACTGTAAGAAAACAATCATTTTCACTCTCATGTCAGACTAACTGTGATTTAATAAGTGGAAGAATAGGCTTCAAGACCATCTTGAATGCGATGATATCAAACTACCAGAGAAAATCTAATTCCTTACTTATTAAAAAAACTTACAAACAATACGATCTTCCAGTTACAATCATTTAAAAATATTCACACATTGGGAAATCAATATCATCAAAATTGTACTGCTAATTAAGTAGTCTAGCGTTAGTTATCGTTTGACATACAAAACGATATTATTATTGAAAACAAAACTCTTCCTAGTAAAATGTTAATTTATCAATTCAGTTGGAATTTATTTTAATTTATATAATAATGTACAAAATTCAATTTACAGAAAGGTTCCAGAAGATAGTTATAAAATTATGGTCTCAGTTTCTGGAATTATGATACCAAGCGAAAGAATGTGTCTTGGATATGAATGCACTTTAACAGTATGAAATTGATGTTATTTTTATTGTAATTGTTATACAGTGTTTACTGTTTTATTTAGCTTATAATTTAAATTCCATAAACTAGAGCTGTATTGGTCAGTATGAGTTTGTGGTTATTGTTGAATTTCATTGAAATCATTAACAACCATTGAAAATTTTTAAGTAGTGGGTAAATGTTTCATTCTTGTGTGAGACTACACAGAATTGTCCATCCACAACTACGCCACAAGAAATCGGGTCCAGAACCTTTGGTCTCACATGTGAACAGTTAATCTCGAGCCTGCTTAGATGACATTGTAGATTAACTTACAATATTTTACGACAATTTTTCCTTGTCTACAGTAGATAGTTTCTTCACATTCGATACTGTTAAATCCCAATGGTCACGACTTCTCGGAATTTCGATGCTTTTCTCTAGAAATTATTCATTAGTAGGTACACGATCAGTGTACTTTGCTGAGGAACCTTATCCTAAGACGTAGCAGCAACCTAGTGCTTGAAAGTTCAGAAAATTTCTGAACTTCACAAAAAATTTAAAAACCTTCCCTATATGTTACTTACATATTTTGAACGAACTTTATATACTGTTCAGTTTATTATCGTTAGTATTTATCAAACAGTTACTGAGTACGATGCATGTACTTCGTAAAAACTTTTGACTTTATTTTAACGAGTAGTTCCAAAATACTTGAGTTCCAAGTTAATAGAAGAAACCTAATTATTGAGGGAATTATTAACAAATACAATAAAAATAACTCCAACACAATGATTAGTCCCATGGTTTAGTACACACTAGCTCTGTGAACCTACATCCTAGAGTGAATATTAACTCTAGAATGCAAACACATCCACCTAACAAGTGTCAAACATTATGAAAGAATGGTCTTGAATTCCATTGCTAGCTACATTCCGTCTGAACTATGAAAACGTGTTTGTTTTTTCTGTCGCTACATTGCATAATTATTACACTGTTACATTTCAGATTAAATCATCAGTAACTCCCACCATTGAGAAAGTATCGCCTATCTATGCACCACCAGGTAATGAATGCGTTGACATATTTTTTAATATATTTGCTTCAGTTGTCTATTTATTCATAAAATGTACATACTTAACAATTAATACATTCTAATAGAACCTTATGTCTTTTGGTGTTTTTTCTAGGTTCCATAAGATTTTGTTTTGCATAGGTTATCCTCACTACTTTTCGATACTATTGAATATTTTAATATGCTGCCTATAATTTGATTTATTTTGCAAGCGTTTCATAATTGAAATCATGAAGTGAGCTTAGCCGAACCATCATTAGAAACTTGGAAACATTGGATGGCCATATTTTCAAACTGTGAGATTTATCGGCAGTGCGTGTCCACGACCCCTACACTCAGGAACCGAACCCCGGACCTTGAATCTCGTGTGTAAACGCTCAACCTCTAAACCACTGAGTCGTGGATGTGCACTGTTGATGAGTCCTGTACTAGGAAGAAACAGCAGCCCAGTGCTTCCAAGTTTCTAATAATAGTCTAGTTCAGATCAGTTCGTGATTTCAGCTATGGAAATAATACGGTCTCTACAAATCTCCATTATTTAATATATGTGTTTCTATATATTAGGCTCAATTATTGGTTTGAATGGAACCATCTTCACTAGTCGATTTAGTTCAAATTTAGATGTCTTCACAGTTGGCAGACCACAAAGTATTATCAGGTAATTTTATTGTATTTTCAATGTTATTGTTACTACTAGACAGATTTACACAGCTATTAGTTTGTCATACATAAGTTCTCGTTAATTTTTTACGAATTGAAAAAGTTCTAGAAATATTCAACAATGATAATTTTATTCATATTACACCTTTGTCTAAAAACAAAATGATTTGATCATGTATAGTTTTAATTATATTTTGATACAGTGTGCAATTTTAATGAAAGCAATTGACATGTTTATGTGGTAAAATCAATTACTGCCCTTGTTATAAATCTACTTGTCAAAACTCTACTATTTAGACTTTCTCCGTAAAAGTATTTATTATTACTGAAGTCTAATACAACGACATGTATGAAAATCCTTTAAAAACTGAACATCTTGTAGAAGGTTTGGTACTACAGATATTTTATTAGTTTAATCAGTAATATAGTTATTAAATCATACGAATAATCTAAAACAAGATTCTTATTGTCTTACGGAAATACAACGTGACATACACAATACACTGGGTACTTGTGCAAATACAGTAACAACTAATTAACTTTAAATGAACAATTTCTCAAACGTTTGACAAGTTCATCAGGGCAGTCCGCCTTTTTTTAATTTAGTCGCTACAGATGTGAATAATTTTTTCAGTATACAGTCACGGAGATTATTGTTTTACACTGAAGTCATGAATCTAATGACTAGTTTCGTGAGGAAATTCTCAGAGTTCTTGTGAAAAGCCATGACTAGTGGAGTTCAGCCATGTCGGGTGTAGGCGGTAACTACCGAAGACAATGTATGAGGTCACACTAAACCTTAGATTGGTCAAAAGTTAAACAATAACACTGTCGGATGCTGACTCAGAGGTTTAGAGGTTAAGCGTTGGCACGACAATCAGTAGGTCCGGGGTTCAACTCTTGCGGGAAACATGGTTCATTGTGTCTGATCTCTTCATTAAATGTTCGATACAATCTTCCGTACAAAAATAGCGCACATGAAATAAAGTGCACAAACTGGGACTCTTCAGATCCGATTCAGTTTTTATGGCTTATCTGAATGCCACCATATTTAAGTTATCGTTTATGTTTTTTCCTCCCCTCATTAATCAAAGAATATACGATGGTCCAGGAAATTGTGAACCACAACTACCGAACAGTGATTTATAGTGAGTCAATAAAATTTTCAGTGGAATGTTTCTCCGCTTTTAGATTCGTTAAAGTAGATACTGTTGTGTTTGCTTCGTTCTATATAAATTTGTACTGCTTAAAATGTACTATAAATAATTATGACGAGTAATTGCGTTTTTCATGATGTTAAATTACCAACAGAGAAAAAAGCATTTAAACAGAATGCATAAACTATCATTAATCCATACTATACTAATTCAGCTGTTGTCCTGGTTTTATGTAGATTTATGCATGGAACATATTGTATGTACATATATGGTTTAGACTTACCCGTATATAATGTATTGGCTTTTTCTGTCAAATAAATCAGTATACAGTATCATAGTTAAGTGACTATATATTCCCCATCTTATATTGAAATCTAAGTATGTACAACTGATAATTAACAATTCGCTGCAATAAATAGCTTTGAAAATTCACAATGAATGGACTAAACCTTAGTAAATATTTCAAATCTGACATACAACAAACACTGCTTAAATCACATGGACAGTGACATCTATGTTTTAGGATTTTCAATCTGTTTGTTTGTAAACATAAAAAGCCGGTTGCATCAGAATGTGTTATTTAATTTCCAAGCTAAGTGACTATCTTTCCGACATAGTTGACGGTTCTGAATCAGAGTCATAGTCAAAATAGTATACTAATATACTTTCAAGTAGTAGACTTATTTCTCTTTGCGTAATCTCAACTATTCGTTCCAAATTTTTTCTCTTCTAGCTACGGGATTGGACTACTTTCTCCTACATCAGACAAAGGTTATATTATGTGTAAAAGAAGTGTACTACAAACAGGTAATAATGAATATATATATATAACCACAATAATTGTTTCCTTGTGAACTTTAGGTTCCGTGAATATCAGTTTCCTAGTTGATGCACCATATGGAAGGTAAGTAGGCATATCATCAGATAGTGTGCCTTTTGTATAATCGATAAATGACATCACTCCGATAACTTTTGGTAATCTTCACGATACACTAATCTTTCTAATATGTCATTGAAATTACTATTACCCAAATTTTTGCACACAAACGTTTACTAGAGTATTTGTAAAGTCAACTGTTGTTCGCTCATTGTATTGTGATCTTTCTAGGATTTTCTTACTCACTATTTCTTTTCGCCTTATTTCTCTAGGAGTAAAACTTTGGAATCAGTTTATCGAGTTGACAGAAATGAACAGACTTTTATGCATCAATCTTATTCAGGTAAATAATTAGTCACAAATTTTGTTTTGGAGTAATGATAATAAGCACCATATATATTTGATTTTCTAAGAAATAATAATCATCAAGGTGTCCTGTTGAAATCATGAATCCATCATTGTTAGAAGACTGGTAGAAACCTGGAAGTACTGGAAGGTCGTTTCGTTATGGCATGGGACTTTTCAGCAGCGCGCATCCACCGCTCGATGCCGGTACAGTGGTACGAATGTTAGGCGATCGTGCATAAGGCCAAAGGCCCTGAGTTCGAATCCTGAGAGTAGCAGTAGTCGTGGATGCGCACTGCTGATGACTTTCATACCAGGACGAAACGACTTTCCACTGCTTCCAGGTTTCTAAAAGTCATCTAACAATCATGGATTCATGATTTCAACTTGAAAAAAACACTGATCTCCATAACTCTGTTAGAAAAAATGATATCTTTCTGAACAGTACCACTGATCGCATTACTTGAGAGAACATTTTTCACACTTAACGTCAAGAACTAATCTTAATTAGACAAACGTTGAAAACAAGGAGGGAGCCGATTGGTGATCGAATCAAGGATGTTTAAATTTCAGACCAGTGAGCCAGTGCTCAGTGGTTTATACTGTCTAAGTTTGATCTCCGGTGGCTTTGTGCGTGAATAATAATTATGATTCGATTTGTCTCCTTTTACTATCGTTAATTATATAATATAATTTTCATAGCACTTAAAAAGAAATCATATCCTCACTTTTTGTTGAATAGTTAGGAATTTAATTTGTAATTTATAAATGTACTTGAGTTGTATACATGTTATCGGTTCTAGTTGGAATTTTATAGAGAATGAATCTGCTTCTTTATATTATAGCATATATACTGTAGAAAATCTATTCTATATGAAAATAGTACATTATGTTACAGAATTCGCCAACACTTTTCATTTAGAATTTGTATTTTGATTCAGATTAATATCTTGTTCATCATGAATATTTCGCACAAAATTCCTTGACTATTGATACTTTCGTCAAATGTTCCAATAAGTTACATCAACAAATTGATTTCGACATTTAGATGAATTGGAAAAAATGTTCGATAAATGACATCATCGCCTTTATTGGAAAATGTTCCGGTTTACTTGTAGTTGTAACGATAATAATGATTATTATTATTAATAATTGTATTACTTCCATATTTCAGTTATCAACGAGGTTACATCCATTCAAACATCATCGTCTGGTGGTGGCTCAATTGAAATTACAGGCGAATATTTAAATCCTCAAAATGATGTCACCATCTCAGTAGGCTTTACAAAATGTTCACCAACATTGATGAATTCAACATACATTCATTGCATTCTTGATCACATTGAACAAACGCCCAAACCTGAAGTTTATCCAGGTTAGTTCATAAATGTATACAATGCTTAATTGTTGCTCAGTGATGTGACAAATTTGTTGGAATTTGCTTTTTAACATTATTCAGTTTGGCCTAAATGGATGGTTTGTAGTAGTCAGTTTATTTTAGACTTTATTGTTCATCATCTCTACTCTCATCGGGTTAAAATTCACGTAAAACCAAACAGTGCTGGCAAATGTATTTATTCCAGCTGCATACTCTTCAACCATCCTCATTAATGATTTCAAAATGAATTCAAGTCCATTCATTTTCAGGTCTAAATGTATGTATATGTGATACTTTTAAATCACGGAATCATTAAGAACTGGGTAATAATAAATTTAACTGATTTATTCAACCAGGCAAATATTAATTATGTAATGTTTATTTACTATTTATTTCAATAAAGCTAAAATATCGATATGTCTACTTTAAAATCAAATAGGAAATCGTGGATTGACTGTACAATTTTGGTCAAATTTGAAAGCATCCAATGTCAATGACTTATTGAAATTAAATTTTGATGAAATTTCAAATACAACTGCAGAAGAAACATATCTTTACGAACCAGAATTTATACCAAAAGATTTATTTAATGGAACAGGAATCATTCGCCTTTCAATGATATTTGTACCTCTGAAAAACTCCTATTATCAATTCCTAATTAGTTCAGTCAATATTTATACTCTGCTCGGAGGAAAACTGAACGAAACCTTGGTAAGCGGACGACATTGGTAAACAACTTTTTTTTGTAGAAATAAAATACTTGTATGAGCAATAAAACTATCAACTGAAATAATACCATACAGACTGACAGTATTAGTAACATGCATTACGGGATTGTGAAGATTGTTAAGTTACACATTTTTGAAACCATGAATCGATCAATGTTAGACCACCATTAGAATTCTGGAAGCACTGGACGGCCGTTACGTCCTGGTATGGGACTCCTCAGCAGTGCGCATCCACGACTCCTGCACCCCGAAGGATTTGAACCCTCAACAGATGGATAGCGACAGAAGAGCATCTCTCTTTCTCTCGATCTGTTCTATAAAAACGTATGACCCATAGCTTGTCGGATTCTATAACTTCACTTCCCTATGAAGTTTGTGTTGATGATGTTGTTCAGATGAACAATGAAAGCTCCACAACCAAAACATCCAACTCAGAAAACGAAACTCCACCGTGATCAGTCAACTGAGCTACAAATTTTCTCCACCATCTGAAACTAAGCATTCTTACTAACCAACTAACTTACCTGCTTACTAACTTACTTACGCCTGTTATCCTGCCTGCAACATTGGCTGCAAACTGAATTTAATATCTGTTGGTTTATTTCCATTTTAGACCCAAATGAATGTAATAAACAGTCGCACTGCACCGATTTACTTAAAGAAAAATGAAGAGTAAGTATGCTTCTTGAGGTCCTTAACATATGTAAGAAAAAGTAAACCTTAATACATAGATTTTCCTGTTCTGCTTTTGTAAATGATTTAATTATAATAGATAGACAGATAGTTTTCGATTTAAGTAAATGTGTGAATTAATTTCAACAATATATTTTTACAAGTTTAAATGGTTACATAAATCTATCACTCACTAAACTCACATACATAATGTTAAACGTTAGAGGTTCTGATATACTGTTATCACAAAAAACTACCAACTTTCGGAGTATAACGACTTCAAACATAAGTTACTTAATCTTTCTTCCTCATGGTATAAACTTTAGTTAATCTAAGAAAATTACATTGCGACAATGTTTAAATTTCTTTTTTATTTGTTCAAGTATTCATGAGTATATCAATTCACAAGAAATTTTCTGGAGTGTATTTCTATGACTTACAGTAGGAACCTTGTTGCTTAGATATTCATTCTGATAAGACTATCATCTAATTAGATCCATTTGTTGTAGCATCTAAAATGTCTCCATATTGGGGGTAGATTCAGTGGGATGATACCTAGCATGAATTGTAGTTATAGATTCAGCATGTAGTTGGTAAATTGTAAATTTGTTTAACCATCCCTAAGGTAATCTCCATTCACAATGGTTTTCTTGGTTTGCCCAACTGGAAAAGATTTTTCCACTACATTTCAGAGTACGATTACAATCTCTACAACCCCATAATGACAATTATCATCTGCTCATTAGTAAGTTACTCCGTGAGGAAATTCACGGAGTTCTAGTAAGAAGTCGTGACCAGTGGAGTTCAACAGTGTCAGGTGTGACGCAGTCACCCACCGAAGACAATGAATGGCGTGGCTTAATATGGTGGATTGACTGAAGTTAGACATTAACACCATTAGATACCACTAACTCAGTGATCTAGAGGTTAGGCGTTTGCAAGAGAGACTGAAGGTCATGTGTTCGATGCCTGCTTGTGGGTTCATGGATGCGCACTGTGTGAACGAGTCTCATATTCGGACGAGATGGCTGACCAGTGCCTCCAGGTTCCCAATAGTTGTCCAAGCTTGATGCATTCATGATTTCAATCAAACTCAACAATCTCCACAATTCCAGTATGACAACTGCTGATCAGTTATGGCCTGAATAGCACAGAAGTGATATCCTAAACTCTGAAACTAGGTCGTGTCCAATTTCCGCAGAGTTCACTAAGTTCCTCAAGAATACGATAAGTTTTTTCACCTAACCACCAACCTCAAATCTGCTCACCTCTAGACTCAGTTACACAAGATGTTTAGTCTGTTTGACGAGTTAAAGAAATTATAACTCAACAAATAGGATATGGTCATTACAGAAGACTAAACAAACATAATATTCATCTACGCATTGTGATAAACCACTGTAAACAATACATACTATTTCTGTATCTTTAATTTTAGAGTATTTCACATTGTTCAGAGAAAAATTTATTTGTAACTTATCCATGAATTTATAGCTAGAACTACGGATGTAGACAGTAACTACCGAAGACTGTGCATGAGGTTGTGCAACTCCGTGAATTGATCAAGTTAGACATCAACACCTTTAGATACCGGCCCAGTTGTCCAGTTGTTAGGCGTTCGCCTACAATACTGAAGGTCCTGGGCTCGAATCCTGCGGGGAGCAAAAGTCGTGGATGCGCACTGCTGAGGAGCCCCATACCAGGACGAAACGGCCGTCCAGTGCTTCCAGGTTTCTAATGGTGGTCTAACATTGATTGATTCATGGTTTCAAAAAAGAAACTTAACAATGCAGAGAACTACAATGATTTATTTACAGTTGACAATCATAAGAATAATTTTCTGGATGGATAAAAATTTAATACTTTTACCTTGCTTTTTTTTTTAAATTTCGTCGAAGTTTCCAACTTGAACTTCGTAGTACAGTGTCTCAACCAACAGCTGTGATACGTATATGTGCTTCTTTATCAAATACCAGTTTAAATTATCAACAACTCAAAGCTTCCAAGCCAACATCTTATTTGATATCGATTAAATCCAAGGATAATACAGAGAAGCAAGTATGTACATTATAATGCCTGGTACTGTCAGTATCAGGAAAGCTTTAAAAATCAGTTGAATATTTTCATATTTTTTAACGTGTAGATTTAACCAATTCAAATGACTTTCTTTAAATATTTATTGTATTTTTCAATGCAAATCACATTCGGCTCTTAAATATTATCAATAACGTTTATAATTAAATTCGTTACAAAATATTTGAAGTACATAATTAAATCATGTATACCTATTTATTGGCAGATGAGTTTAAATCGTGAATATGCATACAACAAGTGTGGTTTCTGTAGTGCACTAACTACCATTCTAGTCAATCATTAGAATAAACAACACCAAATGATGTTTTCCAATTCCTAGCTATCCCCAATCTCATTTAACTCTACTACAGACATTGTTTTCAAGATAACACTGGATAATAGTTTATATGTAAGGGAATCAAAATGATGTTTCCAGGACTCAAACCAAAATGTACCATCATTATAATAAGTCAGTGACTGACAAGTTACTGGGATTACCGAGACTCAGATTACCTAACTGTCTAGGCGATTAGAGTATGGTTAGAGACATTGGGTGACATAACTCGGAATCGATTGTGTTAACCATGATACTTTCAATCTGCGTTTTTCATTAGATTTAAAAAAATTCTTATAATTATCTTACTCTTTCTAGTCCACAAACTCACCGCTTATTCGCCAATAAAATCGTTCTCAACTTTCACTAATATTTTGACTATCATTGCTACTACTCTATCACTTGTCTTAATAGTTTTGGCTGGCTCCGCTGAAGTAATGTAACAACAACTTCAGCTAATGTATGTATATTCAATGTTCTACATTTTTTTTGTGACTGACGGAATAATGTCATCTGAAGAACTACTGAAGACCCAGCAGTACTAAGTACCTGCTTCGCTCTTGTGAGTGTAAAACTACAGATCGAATCTAAGACCTTTAAGTTCTGGAGGGTCTGCTTATTAGTGTTCTATTGTTGAGTTAACATCTAGAGGCTAACATTTATCAATTCAATCATTTCATAGTAAAGCTTATTTAGTGTTACGGATGAATTACTGTTGCACTGTTGGTTTTTACCAAACATTCCCTATGCGATTAAATTCATTCATAACTACATAATTTGTTACATTACCTCATAGGTTATAGATCATTCAGGTCTGGTGAACTCTTCAATTACACCGATTGCTGAAATTCAAACAATCAGTATACCAGTAACTGCTACACAGTATAAACTGTGCTTATTTGATTCGTGTACAGGTAAGTGATACGATTTCAATGATTTTTTTGAGAGATGAAATGGACAAAAAAGCCTCTTTTAATAATTAGATTGTGAAAAAGTGAAATTTAAGTAGAGAGAAAAATATCCAAAATTGACGTCGTTTTCCAGTTAAACGAGAAATTTCGTCTTTTTTTATTGCTAATTTTATTTTCGAAAAATTAAGATAATTCAAGATAAATTTTAAAAATTGTGAATTGTACACAACAATAAACGGCTAATTACTAGATAAGTAGAAGTTGAATGGTCCGTTCTCGATCAGTTAAAATCATCTGTGTCCATCTTTTCAACATCCTATTCATTCACCTTGTAAAATCTTGACCAGTTAACAGTTTAATCACTATTAACTTACAGATATTTTAGGCAAAACTTGATAATCGGAAAGAAATCTTCATGATGAAGTGAAATCAACGTCGTCAGTCCAAAGTACGATCACGTGTTAGTCCGTGATTCTGATTATCTAACTAAATGATGTTACTTCGAAAAAATATTATTTGTACGAATAATTCTAAATAAATTTCTAAATAAAATTCCCTCAAAACTTTACTTGATATCGGTTTATAAAAACCACTTACATACTCAAACATTTAAATCTAACCAGTACTTTCAAATAATGTTATTCACGATGTCAGTAGAACCTAGACGACTGTAATATCATATTTTCTGTGAGACGGAGTGTAACGACTATTTTTCTAAACAAAACTAGTCTACTATAACTCCTTATCATTTTCTCATTGAGACGATTGCATAGCAATTTATATATCAATGTACAATGTCTTCTCTCTAACTATTGCTACTGTTAGATCATGTAAAATTTTATTTTTCTCAGTGCCTTTACCAGTTCAGAATCCAAATGTTGATTTGATCAATTCAGAGATGAGTGAAAAATTCAATGGTTCTTCTGTGAAAACAAAAATCATACAAACAACTAATGATTATCTGGTTCTTGAAATAACTTTTCCGCAAGAATATGGTATGTGAACAATGATAGTTTGATTGGTACTTATTTCAAATACTGTACAAATATTCGTGATTCATTCATGAATAAATCTTAACCAAGATTCTTTTGATAATTTATGAATTATGAACTGATTTCGTCTAGATCACTGTCAGAAACTGGAAGGTACTACATAGATGTTTAGTTCTAGTAAATGATTCCTCTATACGATCCCTTCACAGGGAGTCAAAGTGAACACTGTTAGCCCTACTAGTGAACTTTTAACTTATAAACCACTGAGACGACATCCAACGGTGTACATGTCTAACTTCAATGGATCCATGATATCACGCGAACATCATCAACTACCTATGGATTAGAGTGATCATCTCACATCCAACATGGTCGAACTTCACTGGTCATGTCTTCTCATTAGGACATCATGAATGACAGCTTGAGGCTTGATAGCAGAAATCTTACAGTTACTATATTTAGTAATGAAACGGCCGTCCAGTGTTTTCAGGTTTCTAATGATTGCCTAACAATGATCGATTGATGACTTAAATGTGTAATATCAAGTACTCTAACTAAATCAAACAGTAGTAATTAATTTAGATTTACTACGAATGGATTGATACCATTTATATAGTCAGCACACTGACTGACGCGAATAGATTTTTGTTTACAAATACAAAATGTCTATAGTGTCATATCCTCTATTTTAAAAAAATGCTCAGAAACTTTATACAGATGTGATAAACCAACTTATCAGTGATGCAGTAGGCAGGTTCCCAAGTTAAATCAAACGGTTATTGATATCAAATTAAAAAAATTCTTCATCCGCACAAACTATTCATTTAAAACACAATCATGTTTAGGATGCTTATCATCATAGACAATAAAATTTAGTAAGACACTATGAACCGGCGAACACTAGTAAACTGCTAGTCCAGGTCTGAAACTCTTCAGCATTGTACATTGTATCTTGCTCAAATCTCATGACAAGTATATGATGGACTACCACTTACCAGTCGTAAACTTTATACGGCACCGTGGATGCATCGAAATTTACGAAACCAAAACTAATTAATTCTATACATCTTCGTAAGTTATGAGTTCACTGTTGTGAACTAAGTATTCTTTAATTTTAATTAACAATTTTCATCGTTAGCTTAAAATACTTAATATTAATTTTTCTTAGTGCTATAAGTACAACAATATACCTTGAAACTCAGACATGCAGTTACCTAACAGAAAAGAAAATGTTTTGACGATATTGCATTATAATTTTATGCAGATCGCTCTTTTACATTGAAATCATGAATGTACCATTGTTAGACCACCATTAGAAACTAACATGCACCGGACAGCCATTTCGTTCTAGCGTAGGACTCATCGCCAGTGCCCGTCCACGCAGGAATCGAACCCAAGACCTTAGGTCTTCTATGAGAACGCACAACCTTTGAACCACAGAGCCGGCACCCAACAGTGTTTGGATCTAACTCTAATCAATCTCAGGATTTTGCGCAAACTCACACAATTTATTCGGTAGTTACTGCCCACACCCGATAGTGTTGTGGGCATATGCAAAAATAAAAAATGTGCTCACTAGTTACCAGCTGCGTGAGGAAAATCTCAGAGTTCTAGAGAGACGACCTGATCAGTGAAGGTCGTCCAAATCGGGTGTAAGTAGTAACTACGGAAGAAAATGGATGGGGTTGCGCGAAATCCTTAGATTGACCAGAGTTAGAGACTAATACCGTTGGATGCCAGCTCAGTGGAATATAGGTTAAGCCTTCTCGTGCAAGACCGAAGGTCCTGGATTCAAATCCTGCGAATGGCGGGAGTCTCGGATGCACACTGATGATGAGTATCATACCACAACAATTACTAAGTGAACAAAGTTCAATAAACTACTCTTAACTCTATAATAAATAAACTAAGTTTAATATGTATGCTAATATTATTTATATTAACTTGATTATTTCTTTAAAGGTGATTTACCACTTCTGAAAGCCTATAGCTTTCCAGAAACAATCAATAAACCACAAGTTAACGAAACTGTCCAAGGAATGACAGGATTTTCAAATACAATTAGACCATCGTATGGTGGTATGTACTCATATATGACCTATACACTGGCCAGTACTGAAAGCGAAGTAAGTAAACATAAATGAACGGTAACACATTAAACAATGAAAACTCAAGTTACTTTCTATCAAATATTATTCGGTTTATCATTAAGTCAGTCACAAGCTAACACTTTTATAATTAAATCTATCAAATCTAATCGTATCATTATTGTGTTTTATTATAGATTCGATTGGCATATCTTAATCTTGGTTCATCATGGTGTCCTTCTAAGTTGATTAATCCTACATTTAAATTTGCTGTTCTTGATGATTTTGAAACATCAACACTCAGCACTGTAACCACAGAAACAATTGCATTTTGCGGTCGACAATCTGTTTTAAATTTGTTTACATATACGTTTTCTCAACTTATTGCAGTTAACACTAATCCTCATGTGAGTTGATTATAGTTGGTGGAAACATGTATTTTGATATAATATTTTTTTATAATTTAAAGAAATGTTCAACTTTTGGCTGTCATGAATAAGTTGGCATCAAGATATTAGAAACCTTTACCTATAATAAGCATACTACTGTTTAACTTGACCAATGTTAGACCACCATTAGACACCTGGAAGCACTGGAATGCCATTTGGTCCCAGTATGGAATACACTAGCATTATGCACCCACGTGACCTGAACATGATCCCTGGACCTTCGGTCTCACGTGCGAACTCATGACCTTTGAACCATTGAGCCGGTATTCATAGGTATTAGTGTCTAACTTTAATCAATTCAAGATACTCTATGATGAAAATCATGGAAATGTGCTCATTATTGACTAGATTTGTCAGGAAAGTCTGGGGTTTCTCGGGATAAGCCGTGATTGGTGGAGTTTAAGCCTGTCTGGTGTAGACAGTTACCTACCGAAGTCAATGGATGAGTTTGCTCAATATCATGGATTGATCAAAGTTAGAGATTATCACAACTGAATGCCAGCTCAGTGGTCTAGAAATTGAGCATTCGTGAGGGTCCTGAGCTTGATTCCTGAGTGCCGGTCTCGTGAATGAACAACGTTGATAAGTCCCAACTAAGATGAAACGACAATCCAGTGTTTCCAGGTTTCTAATTGTGACCTTACAATGACTTATTCATGATTTCAGTGTCATTCACTAATCTTCAGAACTCCATAATTATTGAAATCATGAATCAATCACTGTTAGACTATCATTAGAAACCTGAAAGCACTGAATGTCAGTTTTGTCTTAGTGTAAGACTATTCATCAGTGCTCATCATTTTATTCTAAATAACTTGTTGTCCTTGTTTTCTTTAAGTTTTTATTTATTTGAAAACTACAGAATAAAAAGTGAGTTGAGTTCAGCATGAATAGCTTTCATGGTTATAAATCTTATGGTTGTAAGACAGATACATATTCCTGAAAATCGCAAATACTATGGACTAACACAAGTTAACATTTATTCATTATGGGGAATGCTTGATAGTTGTTTCGCCCTATTATACAACACCTCTGAATTGTACTGCAGAAGCCCAGGAACACTAAAGACTATAGCACCACCTGAAGTCAATTAAATGAACATTTAATAACTTACGGTGTTTACCTCACTTAGCTCGTAATATTATATAACTGTAATTTATCACTAGTGAGTGAAACAGCTTTTGAGAATTTTATTTTCTAAAGATATGGAAAATATGTATTCCTTGTTTTAAGTGGTTGTTTAAATTCACATTGATAAAATATTTGTATTCACCGAAATATATGTATCCTATCAATTATTAATCATGATTTCTCGTTTGCTTTCCTTTTCTCTGGAATATACTTATTACAAACCTTTTCTAGTTATGTTTTGCAATAAAAGGAAAGACAAAAGACAGTATAAGTCTTCTGTACAATGCAATTGGTGTAACATCTCGTTTATTGAAACAAACACTAACTTACTCCATTGATCTAACGGGAAAAGATGAAAATTCGTAAGTTAATTTATTCACTTCATTTTGGTGAGAATATTTTTGTTAATGTTTTTTTAATCACTACTTAAATAAGCGTTCACTAATGATACTGAACCGATAAGTAAAACATTCCAGTAGTGCTAAACTATATGCTTGAATTGTAACAACTTATAGGATAAAGTGAAGGATTAGACTTAAAAATTAGTGGAGTTAAGTGAAGTAGAAGATGAGTACTGTTTAGAAGAAGAATAACATACACACTGCCATGTAAATATTGAGTTTATTTCGTAATTGTATTTATTATTTTAAGTCACTTATCTAATACATGACTTAATTATGAAAAGAATTACTTTAACCAAAAATATTTGATGAATACGAGGGTGATTCGGTAGTCGAATTTGGTAATAAAAATGCAGACATTTGTAAAAATAAACTTATGAACTTTGGTCGCTGATTAAGTGATGTAAACTTCAAAATATTTGTCGTTAAATTTGGAGTTTCTAGAGTCGATCTCCTGTATTAACACTCTTGAGGAGTACGATTACTCAGAACTAACTGGTTTCTAACTAAGATCGTTTCGATTTCAGGCCACCATTAGATACCTGGAAGCACTGGGCGGCTGTTTCTTCCTGTGCGCATTAACGATTTCTGCACCTCGCAGGATTCGAACCCAGGACCTTCGGTCCTGTGCGCCAATGCCTAACCTCTTAACCACTGATCCGGTCTAACTTCGATCACTCCACGGTCTTGTGCAACCTCATTCACTGTCTTTGGTGAGCACTGCTTCACACCGGAACAGGGTTGAACTTCACTGGCCACAACTTCTCACTGGGACTAGGAGATGGCCCTGGGTTCGAATCCTTCGAGGTTTTTAAGTCGTGGATGTGCACTGCTGATAAGTCCGATACCATGACGGAACAGACGTCTAGTACTTTCAGGGTTCCAATGGTGGTCTAACATTGATCGATTCATGATTTCAGTAAGTAACTATAAAACCTCATTATGCATAAGATCAGTTCGTGATATAAACTACAAAATTCGATAATATACACAACAATCTTTACTGCAGTAAATTTTGTATTCGAATTGAACTATAATAAAGCCACTGATTCAGTCAATTAATTAAATATTACGATGTGTTATAAAATAAACCGGGATATAAAACTTTATTCTTCCTATCGAGTAGATCTTTAGAATACGTTAGTCGGACTGTAGTACAAGAAATTACACTAATCACCAATCTTCCAGGAGAAAACATATATTTCTAATGTTATTTTCATGATAACTAAAGTGTTCTCAAAAACTCGTTTCAACAGATAATTATTTTGACTTTATCATTATCTTGACTTTGTCATTATCGATTATCACTTTCAGAATGAGCAAAGCAGATAATAATATGAGAAGGGACTGTTATCAGAAATGCATGTATTTGAGTTGATATTTGTAAATTCCTGAAAAAATCATTTGTGAGATGAAGAGCATATTTTTTACAGCGTCGAAAAATCCAGTATATAGTGACGTTTAGTTATGCCTTAGTGAAGATACCTTTCAATACCATAATAAATGGCGCGATCACTTTGGTTGAAAAACAAAATGATTTGTTCTGTTCTATTTTGATTTCATCTCTTCTAGCTGGAAATTCAAATGTATCAATGTACTGCAATTACTTCGTGCAGATCCACGTAATGTAAATGCAACAATTTTTCAACTTGAATCTTTCACTATACCACCAAGAAAGAAATTTTACGAACTGGAATACTCATTAAGCTTAGATACTGTATTTATGGGCACAAAACCGATTTCCGATAATCCAGACGGTAAATTCTAGCATTTTTGTTTGAAAGAATCTTTGAAAATTTATTATAGTCTTTTTTAGTTTAACATTTTCGAATTTGAATAGTTTGAATGTAAAGCCTCCATCATTTCATTTAACAACAACTACATTTTCAATATCTACTGAAAATAAAAGAGAACTTTTTAAGATGAATTCAAAAACCTTAGAGCAAATCATTCTTGCACTGTTACTGACTGTCTGAATATTCATCTGTATTAACTTCTTATGTCTTGGAATCGTTGTTGACCGTTAGGTCCGCCAAAAACATTCGAAACTTCACAATTGAACCATCTAACGCACAGAATGCGAACACCATTGAAATCATTCACTTAAGTTACTGATCATCTCCATCATCAATTATCGACATCTACATTTGTTATATTCACTTCGTTTGAAATGATGATATACAGTGTATAAATGTTAATAAGTAAATTTAGTAATCCAACCATAATTTTGCTGTATATAAAAATCAGGACAGTGTAAAATTATTATTACTAAGATATTTTATTGAAGTTATTGGCAATTACTGTTGTAAACAGACGAAAAATCACAAACCTAATAATTCTCTAGTGAACCGGTTTCTTTACTCAAATAGCCATCTTCACCTTTTATTGTCTTTTCATAAAATTCTACCTGCAGGGTCCCTTTCCACACACCAGTTACATAAATACTACTAGTCCAAAATAATAGTCCATTTATTATCTTGAATTTAATGTGCTTGTTCAACAACGTGACCTCTAAGTAACGAAAATACTCGTGACCATTCATCTGACTTTGTTCTATTTAAAAGTTTAAGAAAGTTAGAACTTTGCACGGTCTATCGATCATGTAGATTGGCATCGGAAAAAGAAAACGCCAATCACAAGTCATAAATAATTCAGAGTAGATTTTTCAGCTGAACAGTTAAACCAGATGAGTTATAGTTATTGATATTGATATTTTGCGATTAATTTATTGATCAGGTGTAGGTTGGTATACTTAGCTTTAAGTGTGACAAAGTATGGGAATTCTTGAAGTGACCCGGTTAACTATAATGAAACGCAACCGCCTTTGGATGCTGGCTCAAGAGGTTGAGCGTTCGCTCGCAGGATGGAAGTCCTGAGTTCAATAGGTGGAGTGAATGAGTAATGGTGGTCTTACATTGACTACGTCATGATTTCGACGAAATAAAATAGGCAGGGTTCGCACCTGCGACTTTGTAACTGAAATTTCAAAGCTTTAAGCACCTATTTGGCTAACTGATTTGCAAGACAAAGAACTTTCAAAAATTTTCTAAAATCCTACGTATTTTAATAACTGAATAAGAATTTCATTGTTTTGATTAATTATTTTATTTAAATGAAACTGATCTGTGATAATTTATAATTATTCTGACATTATCATCAATCAAACCATAAGATAATTTAAGCTTAGGACTAAAGTGATCTGAAACATGAAATATTTATGAGTTATGATGAGTAGAAGAATACAGAATGCTTGTCTCGTCCTCTTATGAACTTGCCATTTGTATTTGCTTTCATCTCTGGTTTGTAGCTCATAAATCTGTATTTCAGTTCATTAAATCTAACTTGAGGCAATTAAATAATTCACGTTTAAAAAACTTAATAATCTAGAAACTTTGAATTAATCTTCTGTGTTTATGAACATATAATAAACTATCCTCCGCTCGAAACTTGAAGTAAAACCATGTTGCTTTAGGAACTTGTACCAATTTTACGTTACAAATGGAGTGAGTATTTTGATTAGTGAGGCTGAGGAAGTAATTAACCTTTCTTTCTTGAAAAATCATCACTCGCTCTCTTCTTCATCATTATATATGGTTTTATCATTCATTGTCTATACTTTTATCGTAATAATTAACTCAGTTTGTTGCCAAAAGTTAACTATTCAGCTTCAGTATGATATATTCACTGTGTTAGCTAAGAACGATGTTGATTTGTTAGACTGAAACCTCAAAACAGATCAAATTATCGCTTGATTTAAACTTTTTTTCTCTCATAATACTTATCAGATGTCGTTACATGGCCACGATTTCCAAAAGACATATTCAGTGATATTAAAATAACAAAGAATTCTTCAACAGTTGGTGTATTAACAGTTGAAATAATCACAAAATCTTGTAGAAGTAATTTTGATCTGTTTGGTTTAGCTGGTGTCAATGTAAGTTTTTATTATATGGTATACAACATGATTGTGTTTTGTTCAATTGTTTTCAAAATTAAACATTGTACAATTACTTTCCAATAGATAGTGTATTTTTTAAATATCTTGAATGGGAGATAATGACTAACAGTTTTTTTTATGATCACAAACATTAAGATGCCAAATGACAATAAAACGCTTGATCAAACAGTAAACCTTCGCGATAACAGATGGCCAACAGTAATTCAAAGTTCAGTAACACGAATTCAATCAGCTTCACCCCCTATCGACGGGAATTTCATTTTATCATTTAAAGGAGCACCTACTTCACGTGAGTAAAATTATTTTGTTATAACTTGTGACGCTAATCAATATACAGTGAGCGTTAAAATGATCAGTCTGAATTCTGATTACAATGTTTTCTATCACGTGTCAACTATTTCATCTGTAGTCTGGTGATCTCGACTTGATCATTTATACTTGTCACCGTGTCAGTTAACTTTCAGCCAGTGATAGACAGATAAGCCTCTGTTGGTTCACTATCTGCAAATCTTTCTGTGTTCCTTCCTTTGAGTCCGAAAAGGAGTCATTAGCCAGCTAATAAAGTACTGATAATTGGGATTTACAAAGCAACTGATTGATTCAAATATGAGCATTTCCTAAACACTAATCTAACGTTTCCTATCATGGTGAGTAATTTTGCTACACACAACTAGCTAACAGAAATTACTATCAATTACAGATGTTAAATGATTGAACGAACTGTGCAAAATGGCAGAAAGGAAAATATGTTTCATTAATAATTATATCTTTATAAAAAACATTGAAGATGTAACTCACTATAAGAAAACCGTGAACAGTGTATTTACTGATGCTCTCTGTAGAGCTTGATCCCGTTTCCAGAGGCGATCACCAATCCAACATATTACCACTTAGCTCCACGGGTTACGATTGAAATTTTGTCTAGTGAAAATACCTAAAACTGATTGGTCATTAGATAATAATTAATGTCTTATCTTTTTAGTTCACTGCTTTCACCAATACACGTACACGTTGCTGATGAGTCCCGAATAGCATATATCATCTAAGTCTGAAGGACTTTTGTTGATTTCTTTCAACCAGCTAACATGAAAACATAATGCAAGTGATGTTTGTTCACTTACACTATTGGCCACATCATAACTTGATCAGCAGAATTCGATTAACATCAAACTTCTCATTTTCGCCACCAATACCCCAAGTTTACAAGGCGTAATATAATTACAAATAGAATTGTGATGCATCATAGTAAAGTTGAAATGGATATTCAGAGTAGACCTGAAAGCCTTATTGAAAGCAGTAAGATACAAAATATGTACTTAAACATTACTAAAGCTGATGCATATTTACATGTTGAAAATGTGGTGATGCAGAGTAGACAGAGACCGTAAGGTTATAGATAATTATAGTATCAAAGAGAACTACATAACCAGTTGATATCATTAAAAGCCTGTTTTTCTCTTTTGTTTAAACGCACTTTTTGACTTTGAATGAACAAATTTTGTGTATAAACAGTTTGGTGGTAGATTATCGGATTACGAAGCTTTTGTTGTCATTCGAGACAACACTTTCAGATCTTACTATATACAGAAGTGAACGTTTTGATTACTACAAATATCAGTTAGTGAAAATGGCTTGATTTTCTTGTTTGATTTTATTGTCTTCACTTACCGTTTTATACACACTTAGTGTCTTTGTCTGTTTTATCTCAGATTTTTTTTATTGAAAAGACAGAACTTGAAGAATACATATGTTAATGTCTTTCTTTTAATTCAATTATTCGAATTTACACATTTGAAATCATCAATCAATCATTGTTAGACCACCATTAGAAACCTGGAAGTACTGGACGGTTTCTAATGGTGGTCTAACAATGATTGATTGATGATTTCAAGTGTGCAAAACACAAATCTCCAAAACTCTAAGTGAAACTATTCGAATTTATTCAAGTAATTTCCTGTTCAGTTAACAACAACAAAAATATTCCTAATATTTAATATTAAAAGTAAATTAAATATCCCATTTCGTTTCATAGGTATTCCAGCTAAGTTTATAGAGCCAAGTGTTATTGAAAGACAGTTAAATTTACATCCTTTAATGGGTGCTGTACGTGTTTGTCGATTTGGATGGTGTAGAAGTTTCCAGTATAACTTTTGGCTTGATAGTTTACCTGGTGATCAACCTGAAATATCAGTAAGAAACAAAACATAATTTGTTCTTGTTTTTACACATTTAAAGTATTTTTTTATTATTATGTACTGAAACGATAAATTGCTTTACTCTACTTACTTACACTTACACCTGTTCCCTTCAATAGATCATAGGCCGCCGACCAGTTTTCTCCAACCTACACTGTCCTGGTGAACCTCCCTTTCCAGTTCTGTCTAATTTCTGTTCACTTTTCTCATGTCTGTCTTCATTTCTCGGTGTACTGTGTTGCTTGGCCTTCCTTTTTTCCTTGACCTTGAGGATTCCAAATGGGGGCTTGTCTTGTGAAGCAGTTGGGTGCTTCCCTCAACGTGTATCCTATCCACTTCCACTTAGAAACATTGTACAAATGTATTTTGAGCTCATTTACAACTTATATACATATATAGATGTTTTAGAACGATGATCACCGATAACCCTGAACTTTTCGAATTTGATAGTTAATAGAACTATTAGGTTAGTGATGATATTCAAAATATCTGAACTAAAGGGAATTTTTATCAGTTAGAAGAAATGTATTCAATGTTGAAAAACGAAAAACATCTATCTGGAAACAAATGTCTAATTTGGACGGTAGAGTGCACTGATTTTTGAACAAACCCATCGAAAATGTGAAGTATTTTGAATATTTTCCCAGTGATCATTATCATTGGCTAATTGAATTAAATCCCAACAGTTAACATTTTTATGTTGTTCTCCGTCCATCTACTTGATCGCACTTAATCATTCTTAAAAGAATAACAATTTTTTTAAAAGCTCCATGGTATTATGATTAGCTAGAAAGCTATTGTAAATCCAGCCCTTTTTTGGTTTGCGTTAGGTCAGATAGTACCATGTGTGCTAGGGGTATCTGTGGAGCAGCATATGAGGTTATCTGAAAGAGGAAAGGACAAGAGGATCAGGTGAACCGACAACTGAGTAAGCACACTGAATGCACTTACATTTCATAGAGAAATCAATAGACAGTAACCAGATATAAAGAATCGAAACTGGAAGTTGTTAGAGTAAGCTTTCGAATGCGTTACACTATGACAGTTTGTACTTAAACTCAACTTGTAAATAAAGTATCAATTATATAACTATCTTTAGAATTTCGATCCGAGTTAGAAATTTTTGAGCAATAGCACTTTAAAAGTTGGTTATATTGTCAACTCTATGAGCATTTAATGACCTAACTTATCAACATTATGCAATAATTACTATTAGTTTAAAAACTGAATAATACACAGAATGAAAAATGTAATATAGAAAACAAATCGCTCAATGAGAAAAATCCGAGACTACAGAAGTAGTATGTTAATATTCATATTTCGTTAATCGAAATTACATTTAAGTATTACAATATAAGAGAAAGGTAAAAGTCAGTAGTTAATGTTTCACACAACTTTCTGTGAATATTCTGTTGTATAATCATTTATCATGGTATAATTGACTAACCGCTCAAAAATTACAATGAACATATTGCTTCAGTGTTAAACCGTCACAAATACTATTGAAAAGCAATAAGTAATGAGCAAATAATGGGGACTTACTTTATTATTTGTTTCGGATTATTATTTGTTTGAACAGGTGATGAATGAAACAAGACTAATCGGCGATTCACCGCAGATTACTGTACAAAAGAATGCTATTGGTGAATTAATTATGTGTCCGATATCCGGGGATATGGTTGCAACAAAACATTCTCTGCCACAGGTTAGTAATTAGGTGCTACATGCTATGGAGAAATCATAGCTTTGTACTGTTTTTGATAGCTTTCACATTTCCCCTGTGTTTCAGTAAATTTTTTGCTGTAAGAGCTTCCATCTATCACATTTCTCTGTGATAGCCTTGGAGTGTAAGATTCTCTTCTTGCTTTAGTCCTGATAATACAACTTACAGACTAGGGTAGAGTATATTTCCTTAAAATAGCACTCACTAAAAGTGTAGTTTGATAGCCTTGTGAAAAGATGTCAGTCGTTACTCAACATGACGTGTTTATTTTCTTGTCATTTATCTGAATGGAATAATGGTATGGTTATTTTGTCTTCAAATAGAATAGATTCCGGTTTGTATTGGAGTTCATGTGATCTGACCTTTATTATCGGAGCAGTATTATTGTCTTATCCGATGAAGAATGATTAAGACCAAAATACTTATTGATTCTGGATCTACTTCTAATCAAGTGTTACGTCAAAAAACAATCGGAAAAGCCTTTTAGTTTAGTATACAGCAATTACCTAACCACACGAGAACATAAAGAAAAAATCATATTATGTTCAAAACTATACTATAGGTGAAAGTGAAACAGTGATAGGTCCATAATTGATTGATAATAATTTGGGAAAGCTGAGACATGCAGCAGTAATTTATATACCAAACTAAAGATTACAATTAAAAGCACGGAAAAATAAAATACTCCAAAGGTCTAACTATTATACAATAAAAATATCAACAATAATTGTTCGTAAGCTTTCTCAATGATCATCCAATTATAGAGATAACCAACACCTTTGAAATACTAAATAACTAATTACAAAACTCAGCCTTCATTTTTAAATGAACAGATTTCTGTGAATTAAACTACTCTCCAGTCGATAGTCATTTTTAAACGAAGCACTCATAAAAATTCATTTGACAATGAGTTGTTGGTAGGTCAGTGATAGGATTACTAGAAAGTAAGGGATGAATATCACAAAGCATTCAGGAAAAATTCTCTTTTAACCGTCATGTCACTGAATAGAAGAAGAAAAAGTGTACCAATCAACCTCTGCGTGCTTTTTTAATGTTTTATAAAACAGTATGTTACTTGAAATCGGTTTTACTCATGATTTGCAGAATTAACTTTCAGTAGCTTCTACCTTACCAATATCTTAATCTCTTCAAATAGCTACTGCATCTAATTTTAACAATCCTCATTCTGTAGGTTGCGCAAAGAAATAGAAGTGGATAGAATCAATCATTTAAATTTTCAGTTTATCAAGATAATTCATTATCTACAAAATATGTCATGTATTATTTCTACGTAGACGCTATCAACCAACTAGTTTAGCAGTAGTATTCTAATAAGTGAATTCAACTCCATCGTGTCACTTTCGATATGCAATTATTGATAAGTGATTTTTGTAACTAGTAATTTACTTTTATAATAGGATGTTAAGATTACTTACATCTAAAGTGTTCCATACATTCAATCCACAATGTATTTTAAACAGTAACTTCCAGTGAAGATAGAACAAACAACCGTCAACTACTAAAATGCATTTCAGTAGGTTGATAAACAGAAACATTTTAAAAATTGATCGCTGTGTCTAGTTACGCCTGGTTAAATAAGTGAATAGGCAAATATATGAATGAGTTGTAGTATTCATAAAAATTTATAAAATGTCATACACTGCGGTTTGCAAAAGCCATATTGTAATGGTTGTTGAAACATTTCCCAGTTTATTACTTGATCTCAACTTCTTGGCACTCATATGTGAATTTCGTTGGAGGACCTTCAAATACATTAATTTATAAATACCATTCATGTTCCACTTGGGTCTTGGCGAAATTTGAATAAATTTAACTATGAGTTAAATTTCTTTTCTTCCATCCAAATTTATCCATGAGTATTGAGACGGTATTAGGGAAAGGGAACAAATTCTCAGACATATAAATGGCATATTAAAAGATAACGTAAATTCATTTGTTTTAATTTGAACGAGTATTTTTTCAGTTTACGTTGAATAAATCGCCTTATTTCTTTTTGTTTAGGTTAGATTATACGTTGATAATTTACCGGCTTATTGTGAATCGTCATGTGATCATCAATTTGTTGATATATTAACTCCTGTCGTAACCAATTCAACAGTACAAATAAGTAAGTGAAATAATATTTCCGAAAAAATTATTTTTGATAGTATGAAATATATTTAATCTTTACTTTATATGCATACATTTTAAAATGATGGATAGATTAGTTCACACAATATGTCTATCCAATATGACATTGGTTTCTGTGGATTTATTTCTTCATCGAG